TCTTATGCAAGTGTTCAAATCACATAGAAAGTTAAGACAATCCTTCCTTGTAAGTCCTCACCAACCGACTATCCCCCCCCCCCAAAAAAAGAAAGATTCCAACAGATAATTGTCCCGTTCCTTTTCCTCAACACTTTTTCTCAGTTTTGGGCATTTTTAAAGAGGATTAATATTACTGAAAAATATCTTCTCTGTTCATTGTAGTAATAAATGTCTGTACTCACTTTATCTTCATTGTGTTGCTGCATAATAAATTTAAATCCAAATATTAAAAAAGAACCCCGGCTGGTCGCTGCTAATGGAAACATGGTTGCCATGTTTCCTCCAATCCTTCGCTCCTGCTTTGGGGCACAATGCCCACTACCCCGCGACTGCTGTCTGCGAGGGAGGGGCAAAGAAGCCCCCTGCTACTCCCCCTCCCTACGAGAGGCGGAGCAGGCCCCCCCGCTGCACTGAGGGGGCCAAAAGGAACAAAGAGGAGACGGATGGTTCAGGAGAAGCCTGATACACGTCTGTTCATAGCGCCACACCGGAAACTCTCCTGTCCCAATAGCTCTTGGTGCAGTATGAAATCTTTTATGTGGTCCAACCCAATTGAACCTGCATTGTACCTCTTATACCATGTCTTATTAAACTTCAGAGTTGAACAGTTTGAAAATGTGTGTTGTCTGTTACTTGTTAGAGTAGTCAATATGTTCTACATGTAAATATCTTTGTAATAAACCTGAAACATTTTTGGGTGCTATACCACTTGTCTTTATTATTAAGAAATATAAGCATGGCAGTTCTGTTCAGACACATAATGGGCTGCTCTCTACTGAGCTAAGCTGCCCCCTTGACAAAAATGTGTCCCTCTAACAAAAATTTTCTGGCTACAGGTATGCTTAGGGTTCCACTGCAAATCACCCAGCTATTGGGAGCATTCATACCTATTTTATGTATCTTTTCCTGCCTTAAAACCTATCCTTGACATTGACTAGGCTGGCAAGCAACCTCGTTAATCTTTCTCTTAGTAAATATTACTGAGACAACATTCTGGTCCTCCACAGATACATTTGTTGGTAGTGATTAAGAGTCTAGATTTAACACGGTGCATACATCTACATTTTCTTCTTTAGGGCTCTTCCATTATCTCTTCTGACTTTCATGTTTGACATCCCCTTCAAATACTTCCTCATTTTTTGTGCTGTTAGTGATCTCTTATTTTGGGGGTAGAAATGGTGCTCCTTATCTATGTGTCCTTATCTTATTATAGTGTAAGAATGAATTCGTCCTTATCCTTTTCTACCAGTTACTTTATTATTTGTTACAATTTGTTGTTTCTCTGTGTTAAAGTTAACAAGAGATATTTCCTGTGAATAGACTGAATTAATAATTAATCATATAAAATGGTATTTCACAGTCTTTGTTTTTTAGAGCTGTCAGTCTGTAAATTCATGTCTGGGGGAAAAAACATATTCTATAACTCTGTTGCAGTATAGTTGCTTGCTTATGCATTTCCATTGTTAAATGTCTTCATCTATGTATATAAAAGAAAGTCCCCTCACCGTAAAATCAATGCCCAGACCAAACCACTGGACCTAGAAACACCAAATTTTGGCAGAGCACTCCTATCATGGCGTAGATGCTCACTGTAATGTATTGAAACGATTACATGAATCACCTCATAGGACTCCTATGTTAAGCTTCGAGCCAGACCAGGGCTCCTCTGAGCGAACTTCCTATTGGTCGCTTCATAACAGCGACCAATCAGAACTGTGCCTTTTCCCTGCGAGGGAAAGACTTTCATTGGTCCTTAACTAAGCAATCTCATTGGTTGTTAATTGTAAATAGGCGTGGCTACATTAGCCCGGTTATGTTTAAAAGGAGCATAAGCTCCCACTGTTTTCTGTTCTGGTTTCTTACTGAGTTGAGTGCTTGTTCGTTACTTCCAATAAAGCTGAATCACTTGCTGAATCACTCTAAGAGTCCTTTGTTAGTGCGATCTAGCACTCACTAAGAAGGGATTTTTAGAAATTCGACCCCTAAGGGGGTCAAAAGGGGTAAAATGTGCTCCCCCCATTGATTCCTATGCGGCTGCCAGGCTGCTGTCTCCTTGCATCCCCCACTCTCTGATTGGTCAGCTGCAGAGCTCAGTGTTCTGAGGTAAAAAAAACAGTTACAGGGGACTACAGAGAGCTAATGACAGTTGAGGAAATCAGGAGTGGCCAACCGCCTGTGAGATGAAGCAAAGCTGTTGGTCCAGCCTCCCTATGGCTTCAAACATGCTCCCCCCTCCTACACCTGACAGGCAGCAGCAGTTGCAGGTTTCTTGAAGCCACGAGGGAGCCTACCCCAGCAGTAACGCCTTAATGATCCTGCCAGCCCTGCCTCCACAGTGGCTTCTAATACTACTCCCCCTCCTACACTGGACAGGCAGCTGCCTGTCAGGTGTAGGAGAGGAGGTGGGATGCTTACAGCCGCTGGGGAGGTTTGCTCAGCAAGATTGCCTTAGCCCTGCTGTTGGCCCAGCCTCTCTGATGCCTTTAGACATAATCCCCCAAACACCAGATGGGCAGGTGTCTGTCAGGTGTAGGAGCAGGTCCAGGGTACTTTAATCCATCAGGGAAGCCACCCCAGCAGGATCACCTTAGCGATGCTGCTGGCCCAGCCTCTCTGATGGCTTCCAACACACTCCCCCCACCTCCTACACCTAACAGGTGATTGTCTGTCAGGTGCAGCAGTGGTTTCAGGGTGCTTAAAGACAAGAGGGAGCCCGCCCTAGCAGTCTACAGAGAGGTCCTTCAGTAGAGGGGGAAAATGTATGTATGTCTTACTTCATTTTTTTCACTACAATCTTCTCCATTAGAATTCCTACAACAAATGTTACATTTCAGACTTCACATCATCAGTATTATAACTGGATTTATGGAAGTTAAATACCGCAGTGAAGCACGTGTATCAGGCTAGTTAACGATAAAATAGTCACTCCACTGAAAAAGTTTTAGCCATTGTCTTCAATTGGTGTAGGAAGTAATTCTAAAGCTGCTGCCTTCAACCCAACTGTTCTGGTATATTTGACACACAGCACCTTAACAACATTAGTCCTCTGTAATGGAAGCAGTATGGTTTGTTTTACTGACTTGCCTTTAAAGTCAATTGGTGATTTAAAATTAGTATATCTGGCAGAATAAACAGCATTTTCAGGGGGGAAATACCATTTCATACACAGTTGGATTCTATGTAGCGTTATCTTTAAAATTTAATGAGAACATTTTTATCTGTACTACACTTCTACCGTATCTTCAAAAAATTAGGTCAAGTCGTATTTACTAGCTGAAATAAATACATGGCTGTAAAGATGTGTTTCTTGAAAGCCAAAGTGTTGGTGTCTACTGTTTTACAAGAGAGGTTCTAAGGAGGCCATATCCAAGACCAGTTTGTGATTTTCTATTGACCTTAAGATCCTTGCATGACTGTTCATTTCAACAGCACTTATACATATAGGCTTATACAGATATGTAGACCCTTTACAAAAACTCCATCCTAATCTGGATAGCCCATTCTAGCCTGATCTCTCCAGATCAGAGAAGCTAAGTAGGGTCAGCCCTAATAAGTAATTGAATTGGACACCACCAAAGAAATCAGGGTTGCTATGCAGACACAGGCAATGGCAAACTAACTCTGAATGGCTCTTGCCTTGAAAACCCTATGCGGTCGCTATAAGGCAGCTGCAACTTGACAGCAAAAAATCCCCAACCCTTTACAAAAGCTACAGGGGAAGTGCAACTCTAAGAATACATCCTATATTCTATTAGGATACACCTAGTTGCAAGGCAGAGAAGCAGAAAATAGTTTCCTGAAATATAATTCAAAGGAACCATCCATATTTGACTGAGTATAAATATCCTTCAGGGGCATGGCTTTCATAAAAAGTTATGTAGTGAAAATAACATGAACGAAGAACTAGCAAAATATATTAAGTTTAAGGTTATTTTAACGTATCTTCAAGTTGTAAGAGACTGGCTTGCAGAACAAAAGAAGTCAGTATAGTGATTTTCTTTTTCTTTTGAGCTACTAGAGCAGTATGGATATTTGTTATAATGTGATTGGGGGGGCGGGAAGTCTTCCATATTAAAAGAACAGTGCAGGGCGTGGTGGTAGTGGAAGATGAGGTCATTAAAAGATGAAATAAATGGTTAAAATGTAGCAAAACTGAAAAGGGGTTGATTTTGCAGTATCCAAAGATATAAAGAATAATACAGAAACAAAATGTGGGGATATTAAGCTGAGATTCCAAGAGCACAGGAAAAAGGCATGAGAAATCAGCCAACAAATTGCCTTCAATAAATATCAAGAAAAATATTTGCATCTGAAGAGCAATGTCTGTGTGTGTGTGTGTGAGTGAGTGTGTAGTAGTAGTAATAGTATAATTGTCAATGTAGTAGTATGGTGTGTGTGTGTATGTAGAAGCAAGTATTCATTCAGTTACATTTCAACAGGATAGTATAAAATACACCCTCCCAAAATAAACAAATGTATTGTTAATCCATGTTCCTAGCAATTAATATTGGGCCTCACATATTAATCAAATGAAGCTTTAATAGATTAGTCCACTAGTTAATCTGATTAAAGACCTAGTTAAAAATAGTTGCTGCTAAAATTTTATCATAGTGGCACTCAATATTATCACAATGCAGACATAAGCAGAGTTAACACCCTTCTAAACCCATTGATTTAAGATTGCATTGTTACTGGCTGTAGGCACTTAGATATATTTTCTTTTCCTTATCTCCATGGATATAACATATCCAAAGATTTTAGAAAGGATGAAAAAAGATGCTTCTTTTGACTCCTTTTTAGTTACATAGTGCAGTTGGTGATTTGGCCTGCTGAAACCTGATCAAACAAGACAGAGTATATGCTCTTGAATGCAGATCACTTTCCAATCTGTATAAACAATAGGAGACCCAGGAAACCCAGCAGTGTTTGTTCAATTGGCTTCACTGCTCTGTCCACAGATATTGATGAGTGTGCTGAAGGAAGGCATTACTGTCGGGAGAATACCATGTGTGTAAACACACCAGGATCATTTATGTGCATCTGCAAAACAGGTTACATCAGGATTGATGACTACTCATGTACAGGTAAGAGTACACTGGCAGTTTGTCAGTGAAAACAGCTGTCTGTAATTTCACTGTTTGAAAATATTTCTTAACTTATAGATACAACATGCAATGAAGGAAGCAAGGAAGACAAACAGTTGAAAGGAATTAGTTTCTTGGGGACATGTTGCAAGCAGTAAATATGCTGCATCATTTATGAAAAATAAGTGTCAAAATTAAACTTGCTATGGTAATACATGCTTTTGATCTTGTACTTGAAGTGGCATGTGGAAATACCCTGCTGTATACCTGGCTTATAGCACACTCATTTAGACTACATTCACCTTCCTTGAAGCAAGATATTCTTCTGTATTATCATAAATAGCCTGTAACTCTGTTCTTCATAAATCCATGTTACATGTATGCAGATTAGTACTGGTGGAAGTAGACATGGTAAAATAATGTTTCGTAGGAACACAATATGGAATTACTGAAGGATTTTCTATGGAGGCTGAACACATCCACAGTCCTTGAAAACATCCAGCAAACATAATTATGCAGTACAGAGACTAACCTTTCCGAGAGGGAGAGGGAGGGATTTGTACACTTATACTAGCTAGCAAAGCAAATAATGTAGCGAGGGTAGCAGTAAAGAAAACTTTAAGGAATCTGCAGTAGCTGTGAACATGAGGGTTGACAGAATAAGGCTTTTTGGATGAACTTGGGTAAGCCCCAACCAAGGTTTTTCCATAGAGAACTTCTTTTTGTTTCTTTGCCTATCCCTAATCTTTACTTTTTGTAACATTTTTATCATTCGTACACAAGTAGCAGTAACTGTCTTCATTTTTTGACATTAACTACCATATGTGGATTTCTCTACTTCAAGGGAAGGCCTGATTCTGAAGTTCACGTACTGAATTGATGAGTAGGCATAAGGCAAATGTATTTTGTTGGCTTCATGTTAACAGTGGGGAAATCACTTGAAATTCCTATCCATGCTGAATCCTAGCTTGTAAAGCATGTACTTCTGCTACCAAATGCAGACTTCTACATGGGTTGGCAAACAGGAGGGTACAAAAAGGATTTTAAAGTGGCAGTGTATTAATGCATATAGTAGCTGTGTAGTAGCTATGTAAATTGTAGTAGTGTGTCTCCAGCAGACAGAAGTCAATAAGAATGTAGAATTGCATTGCCACATTTGGTCAAGGTCCACCTAGTGTTCCAAAATAATTATCAAAAGTTCATGCATAGGGCACAAAGGTGGAGGTTATTTATTTATACTCAGCATCAAGTAGTTAGAGGCACATTGCTTCTGAACATTTAGTTATTGGGGCTAATAGTTTGATAGCTCTCCGTGACTATGTCTTATTCTTTTAAAGACGTATATAAGCTGGGGCCCTTACATATTTTGTTGTCTTAAGAATGCTTTCTTTTATATACCCTAAATACATGTAGCCCGTGGGCCAGATCAGGCTTTCAGAGGGCCCCAATCCAGCCTACCAGGACCTGGTTGTTTCCTGCTTTGTTTCCCAGTTCTGCTGCTGCTGACACATCACAGCTTGCTTTACCAGACTCTTTCAATTGCACAAGAGAGAGAGATAGGCAAGCCTTTCCTGTGCGATTGAGAGAGTCTGGTAAAGCACTGGCTGAGGCTCCTCCCCTTCCTTCTCCCAAGGGGGAGGGAGGGAATGAGACAGAGCTTGCTTCTTGGCCAGGCTGCAGGAGACAAAGGGAAGCCTTTCTTTCCTTCCACTGGCTGAGGATCCTCCCGGGAGGGAGGGAGGGAATAAGGGAGAGCTTTGCTTTGCTGGGCTGCCTCAGTCGCACAGGAGAAATACCAAGCACCTTTAAGACCAATAAAGTTTTGCTCAAGGTATGAGTTTTTGTGTGCCTTGCTACAGTGTGTGTGTGTTTTGTTGGGCTCTTTATGCCCGGGCTCTCCTGGGGGCAACTGGGTTCCCTCCCCTTCTTCACTGTATTCGTACCCTTATGATCCAGTCTTTCTCAGTAAGATAGTAATGTGAACTATTTTAGAGGAGGAATAATAACAAGCCAGTGAGGTGGATTAGGCTGAAAATATGTGTCCAGATCAAGTTCACCCAGCACATTTCTTTTGTTGGAAGTTGTAGTTATTTCTCTGGGGAAGACTATAGTTTTGTAGACAAATACATGGTCCTCAATCTGTGTCAGGATGCCTTCTCATGAGCTTGACCAGCACATGAAGCAATTTATGTACAAAAACTTGCAATGCCCAGCCATTTCATGTTTTCCCCTGGTCCTAGGCTCAGAACACTGAGCATAAGATTTGTGTAATGAATGTCAATAAATCAAAAGTAGGTTTGCACCTTACAGATACTCAGGATTGCTACAGCACAGACCTTTTGATGCAATAATTCAGAGCAAGAGGTGTCAGTTATCAGAGACTGTTAAATAGACAAAATATTGCAAGAGTGCTAGTGTTTTAAGCATGTTTTATTTAAAGTTTTAAAAATCTTTAATTGTGCTTGTCTGTGTCCTCTATAGAGTTTAAATCTCTGCTACCTGGCATTACATTTCATGACACACGTGGTCCAGCCCAACAAGGTCTCATTTATATCATAACAAGAGTTCGACACCCCTGCCCTAAATTTATTGCAAATCAAATTCCATACAGGGGGCTCATTTTGCTTGTATAATAGGAGAGAAATAATAATAATGATAATTATAAATAGCAAAATAAATCACAATATAGGAAGTAGTGTTTATGTGCACTGTATGTTGTGTTAGATATACATGATATATGAATGATATAGTAGTGAGTTCATAGTGTAATGTTCTGTTTGGTTCAGTGATATTATCTATATCCTGCCCTCCCCACTGAGGCAGACTTGATATCGCAGAATGTGTTATGGGCATTATTGCAAGAATACAAAATGTAAATGAGTGTGTGCAAGTTATAAAAAATTAATCCCTGCTAGCCTTACAAATGGAAATACTATGAGACTCTGTTAACTGATGCATATTTCTGTTCTTTTATAATGTTTTGCAGTCTTTCCAGGAGACTGTAAAATGTCAGGCATTATAGCTTGAGTAGATAACCTAACTACAGTAATTTTTCTGCAGATGACTCTCTTATCTTTGGACAGCTGTAAGTACTTGAAGCTGTTAAACCAAACGAAAGAAGAGCACCTTAAACTCATTACGGTACTCTGTGGTCTGGACTGTTGTTTTATATAAATGTGTTACAGGAGGGTACTCTGAAGATGATGATGTGTACTTTAGGAGCCCAGAATCATAAAATGATCAGCACTCTTAACAGAGCCTCTGTTCCAGGTTGAAGCTCTCTGGCCTGACTTTACATTTTGTACTTTGGTACAGATACAGGACTGCAAGTACATCCTTCTCTTGTCTCAAACCCCATGCCGTTGGAAACAAAGGTTCTAGTGGCTTCCTGGTTGCTACCTCCAAGTATTTTATCTATCACTTTGCATCCTGTACCTTCCACCAAGGAACTTAGGGCAGCATGTTATTCTCCTCCTCTTCCTTGTTGAGCTGCATTTTATTATCACAGCAATCCTGTAGAAGAGTTATTGAGCCCATTGTTACCCAGTGGTAGACTGGAAAGTCTAACCCAAGTTTCCTCCAATCTTAGTCCAGCACTCTAATCCATACACTATTTATTTATTTATTTATTTATTGGATTTGTATCCCACCCTCCCCTTAATGGGCTCAGGGCGGGTTCCAACAATATAAATATATAGTACAGATATATCAATACAATACAATTAAAACCATGTTAAAACATATAAAACATACAACTCTTATAAAAAGCCAATTGCCTCAGTGGCTGATAGCGTTGGGAATAAATTTTTCAGAAATCTGTACAGTTTAGGATCTCAGACGCAGGCCATAAAAATAGGGGCCGACCCAAGCTGTAAATAGGGCTGACCCAAGGAGGAAGGGGGACGCCCGCTGCCTCAACCGAAAGCCTGGTGGAAGAGCTCTGTCTTGCAGGCCCTGCAGAATTGTAATAAATCCCACAGGGCCCTGATCTCACTCGGGAGCTCATTCCACCAAGCAGGGGCAAGGCAAGTCAGACGTCCTTGGGGCCGGAGACCACCAAAAGATGTTGATTGGTGGACCTCAGTGCCTTATGGGGCTCATGTGGAGAGAGTCGGTCTCAAAGGTATGCTGGCCCCTGGCCGTATAGGGCTTTAAAGGTAAGTACCAACACCTTGAAATGGATCCGGAGTTCAGTAGGCAGCCAGTGCAGGTCGCACAGCACCAGGCGGATGTGCACCCACACAGGCATCGCCGTCAACACCCACGCTGCTGCATTCTGCACTAGCTGCAACTTCCGGAGCAGGGTCAAGGGTAGCCCCATGTAGAGACAGTTACAATAATCCAGTCTGGAAGTGACCATTGCATGGATCACTGTAGCTAAGTCTTGGGAGGAGAGATATGGGGCCAACTGCCTGAAGGCAGTCCTGGCAGTGGCTGTGACCTGGGCCTCCATAGAGAGGGAGACATCCAGAAGCACCCCCAGGCTCTTCACCCTCAACCAATGCTCCCCCTAAGCTGTGGAGTCTTGTGAGCAAACTTTGTGAGCTATGGGCATTAAAGTTGTGAGGAGGTGATCTGGCTACTGCATAAATAAGTTTGCCCTGGAGCCAGCCTTCCTGAGCTAAGACAAAAATGTGTGAGCCAGAAGCTAAAAAACGGTGAGCTAGCTCACACTAACTCAACTTAGAGGGAACACTGCCCTCAACGCCGGGACCAATGGAGCCCCATCAAAGACTGGGAGCCTAATCCCCTGTCCCAATCCCCAACAACTCAGGTACAGGACGTCCGTCTTAGATGGATTCAGCTTCAGTTGGCTCTGACATAACCATCCAACCACGGCCTGTAACGCCTCTTCCAGATCTCTCGGGGCTGTATCCGGGTGGCTGTCCATCAGTAGATAGAGCTGGGTGTTGTCTGTGTACTGATGACACCCCAGCTCATACCTCTGGATAACCTGGGCGAGGGGGTGCATGTAGATATTAAATGCACTCCAAAAGTTT